AACGATAAGTGAGTCTCTCATTGAAAACACCCATAAATTAAGTCAAAGTCTGTTGTGTTTTGTAAACAACTGTTTATTACGTAATAATCAATGCATTCATAAATGCTATGAGAAATACATTGAAAAAAAAAGTTTTTTGTTTGAAACTAACATTTTATGACTTTATTGGCGATGAATTGCTAACAAATTTATATAAAAGACAAATTTTAAATTTATTTTTTTTGTATTTAAAATGATTTCTGACTAAATATTATTATTTATTGTTCTCATCCATCGGTTCCGGTTCTTTAAAGGCGTCTTTGAAGGCGTCTTCGATGTCCACTTCGATGATCACTTCAGGACCGCACGTCTCCTCTAACAACGTCCTGTTTTTATATCACAATAATTAGTGGTTTAATACATATAAGGCATGAGTTGAAGACTAACTTAATCTTTGGGTCCAAATCTGATTGTTGGACGTGTTGTCGAATATCAGAAACGGCTTCACTCATCGCTGAATCAACGCAAAACTCAATACACTGTTTGGCGGAGGAATACTTCTTGGAGTCGATTGCGTTAATACATAATCGACTCAATGTATTTGGACTGAAAAAAAAAACAGTTAACTTTTAGTTACAATTCATGAAATGTTTGAACAAGAATTAAACCTCGCATTTCCAGTGATCTTTTGGCTGTCTTTAATCATATTTTGCATAATAATGATGGCATTGTCGACATCATTGGCGTTCAAACAGACATCGATGGCAAATCCCAGCAGAACACCGGTCGGGCTTTACATACATTTAGTCACAAAACATGAATTAATGTGCCGTCAATTGTCAATAACAACAACTCACTAATTGATCACCACGTGGTCGTGTTTCTCTTGATTCTCGACGCGATCCTTAATTATTTGCAAGCCTTCAATCACTAAATGAATAAAACCAATAAATGATTAAAACAAACGGACGATCAAAGAGTTGATTACAAACCCATGTGTTTGTGTCGCTCTTGAATCTGTGTGTCGGCCACCGGTTTAGAGATGAGATAGAAGTAGTCTTCCATGAGTTTAATTTGTGAG